ACTCTACCGAGGGCTTCCGAGTTATTGAAACAATATTTAATGCTTTTGTTGTTTTTTTTTTTGCTTTGGTTTGCCTCCACAGAACTCTCCTCAGTACAAACCCATCTAGTGTGAGCTGAGCTAGATCTGAGCTGCCATGGACTGATTCTGATCTACTGACACGTGTGTTCTGGTGGACATACAGGGACGTCTGCCTAAACACCTGAGCCAATACATGACTGAGAAGATCCGTCCACAACTGCTAGGTCAGAAGATACCACTGACAAGAAGAACATATTTTATAGAGTTCACCCAAAAAATTTAATTCTGTCATCATTTACTTACTCTCAAGTTGTTCCAAACCTGTATGACTTTCTTTTTTCTGCTGAACAAAAAAGAGTATATTTTGAAGAATGTGGGTAACCAAACAGTTTCTGGTTCCCATTGACTTTTATTGTATTTTTATTTTTCTCCTACAGTATGGAAGTCAATGGGGACTAGGAACTGTTTGTGAAAGTGTCTTCTTTTCTGCTCAACAGAACTCATACAGGATTGGGATACAGGATCCCTTTATGTGTTTCAATCCACATACATGAGCTGATATAATGTCATCAGATTAATATGGATTATACAAATTTATTTATTTTTTAGCAAATTTACTTTGGTTTGTTGTGCCTGATAGATCACTTAAAGAGGCCGTTTTTGTTGGCTGTACAAAATAATCATCAGAAATTCATGCCGGCAAGTTTCCTGCCCTCATCACCTGTCAATAAACCACGTAACTACTTAATATAGAAACAAGATGTTAGAGTTGTAGCAGTGGCAGTTTCTTGTATGATAGTACATAGCTTTTATTACAAAGACGCTTTATTATTGGTGTTAGCCATTTAAACAAGTGCTGTATTGTTTTATGTCATAGACTAGATAAAGTGTTTCACCCAAATTATATTAAAATAGATCTAACTTGTCCTATATGCCAGGATTTGGAGGAGTCTGCTTCAGAATATTCCGGATCTCAGTGCCAACACGGACTTGTTGCAGGTTAAAAGCCTAGGGTTTTATTCAAATGAACAGAATTAATACATATTTAAAACATTTGTAATTTCAAAAACGAAGATGTGCTCCAGTGCACTTCTATTGGAGTCAGTGATGAAATGTTTTGTAATCAGAATATGTGAAAACGCTATTATTTTACCCCTTCCATGGCCTAAAAAGAAATTTCACTGGGAGAGGAAGGTGTCTCGTTCATTTGTGGGAGATGTTCTCACAAAGGCACTCCATGAATTGTTTGCTTCACAAGAGAGTAAGTATCTGCTTCTTGCTTTTGGAGTTAAAGGGATAGTCCAACTTCAGTTGCTGGTCCCCATTGACTTGCATAGTTTTTTTTTTTTTTTTTTTTTTTTTGCCATACTATGGAAGTCAATGGGGACCAGCTACTGAAGGTGAACTATGACAAGGTCATATTTTCAACATGGTGTATTAAAGGGGTCATATGATTCGATTTCAAGTGTTCCTTTCTCTTTGGAGTGTTACAAGCTGATTGTGCATAGATAAGATCCCTGAAGTTGCAAAGACTAAAGTCTCAAACCCAAAGAGATATTCTTTATCAAAGTTAAGACTCTGCCACGCCCCCCTAAAACGTCTCGTTCTAACACGCCCCCACATATCTAGGTCACTATGTGGAAACATTTGCATAATGCGCCAAAATGTTCACGCAAAGAAAGAAGGCGTGGTTTCAGTAACCGCAGTTAGTGTTGAAGCAGCATCCAAGACATAGATGAGTTTGTTTCTTCATCTGAACAGATTTGGAGAAATGTAGCATTATATCACTCGCTCACCAATGGATCCTCTGCAGTGAATGGGTGCCGTCAGAATGAGAGTCCAAACAGCTGATGAAACATCACAATAATCCACACTGGACTCCATTCCATCAATTCACGTCTTGTGAAGTAAAAAAGCTGCATGTTTGTAAGAAACAAATCCATCATGAACACATTTTAACTTTAAACCTTTAAACTCTTCCTCCAATGAAAATGTTAATCCCCTGTTGTCCTCTCACGTCAAAAAATGGATTTGTTTCTTACAAAGAACTTACATTTTTGTGTGAATAATTCCTTTTAAAGCAGCACTATGTAACTTTTGGCGCTCTAGCGGTTAATAAACAGAACTGCACACATCCCGCGGAAGAACATTCCAACCGGAGCTACTTCTCCAAGTTTATGTTTATGGCGATTCACGCAGGTATGTGTTACTCCGCAGCGGTGACGACCCGACCAGCCTACAATAGTCCAAATATAAGTACTTATTATAAGTGTACCGTAGTGATTCGGAATAAGACAAAAACGCGGTTTGGAAGATGAATTCATGATGTACTCGCTCATTATATATATTTAGCAAATTTTGAACACAGAAAAAGTTACATAGTTCTGCTTTAAGGTGTGGTCATATTAGTGGAATTTCAACGAAATTTCAAGGTTAATTGTCCATAATCAATACAGCGATGCATGAAGCACTGCTCCCACAGAAGTCACTTTCAAACCAAGCAGCTTTCTATTGGTCAATGCGATGAGTTCGCGTGGATTCCTAATAAAAATGGATTTTGCATGTGGAATTTTGATGAGCAATGTAAATGTGACCATATTTAAAGGAGCCATTTTGACAAAATTGTGCGGGGAAAATTGTTTATTGTCAATATTGCAGCGATGCACAAAGCCCAATAGGGTCAGAGGTCACCTTCAAGCCAAGCAGCTTTCTCTTGGTCAATGTGATGAATTCAAGAGAGCATTTGGAGCCTGATGTGAAATCTACATATGCAAAATTTTCAATTGCATGGATTCCTACTGAAACTGGATTTTGCATGCAAAATTTGGCCGAGCATCAACAAATGTGACTGCGCCTTTACTTTCTATGTATGTCTCCTTCATGCATACACACACAAAACCACCAGAACACCATTATTACATAGATTTTATTGTGATTAATACATTGATACATAATCTGTCAGGGATCTTCAAGAGGATTAATATTTCATTGTGCTTCCACACGGGCATCAAACACTGGAAGACCAGGAATGTGCAGTCTGAGTCCTTCGGCTCCACGATCCCACAGCAGCATGCAGAGAGCATCAGACCTTCACAGCAAGACGCCTGCTCTGATAACAGACGCGCGCAGTCGGGTCAAATGTTTGGGCATGTTTTCAGCTGGGCACAATGGGAAACTGTTATCTCTTGGCTTTAAACTTCAAGTCAGAATACTGCTAAAAGAGCCAATTCCCCATCAATTTTCAGTTTTTCTAACAATTGTGTGTCGACGAGCCTCGTGATCGTTGACAGCAGTCATCCTTAAGCCCTGGAGACTGGCTCTGGCTGCACTAGTCATTTAAATGCCCAGGTCACCTTATATACGTTCCGAGGTTACCGTTGATGAGAAGAGCCAGTCTCAGAGCCAGTCTTACCTGATGAAAACTCCACATTCACATAAGATTAGCATTAATGTTGTGTGCATATAGAAATGCATTTATTGGAACAAATTTACAAGGAAAATGCACAATTGAGATTATACTTCAAGGACAGAAGTGCAAACCATTTTACTGTCACACGTAACAGCAATATGGGAAGTAGTTATGTACACAGTACACTAACAAAGGTATAAATATATAATTGCTATATATATTTATATATGTATATATACTCCTTCAGATGGCTTCCTAAAAGACAAACACTTTTCTCCTGGCATAACTACAGCACTCCCAGACAGAACGAAGGACTTGCAGGAAAGCATATTGATATAAAAAGGGCACCACACGTGAATTTGCATGTTACTCCACCTTTTTACAGCAACACGGTACTGAATATTACATTAAGTAATGGCATTTGATTACATAGAGCCCGTGTGAGCACACAGACACAGATAAATAACAGGGGTTTGAAGTTAGATATTTAAAGTGCTTGAAATAGATGCAATGCTACAGGTGATGAAGGTATTAGGACTGAAAACCCAATGTTTTATGACTCCTTGGAAGGTCTGGAGATACATTTCTCTTGGAAAGTTCTACAACATTATGGAAAAGCCATTAGCGCCCTTCCTTATACTCAAAACTAGAGCATGTCAGGCTGCAAATGGGTAAAGAAACTTTCACTGGGACACCAGCAAAGAACACCCACCCATGCTGACCATTTCCAGAAATGAAGGACAGTGTACAGCCTCTATCAGGGATTCTTAGGAGCCCAGTGGAGGGTGTTCAATCAGTTATGGGGGTCTAGTGATGTGGCCTCATATACCCGCCTTACTGTGTACCGAGTCCGTGAGTTGGGGATTTGGGGTGTTATTCAAAGGCCCATATTTCAATGTCCTGCACATAGAAGTCCTCCGTTTTCGAGAGCATCTGATTTCCAAAGGTCTTACATGAGTGAGTTCTGCCATGATAGAGGTCACCATCCAACCACAGCCCAAATTCACCCCTAAAAGTATCAAATAAAAATGTATTTATACACTATGTCACTGAAAAATTAAATATGCCAACTTATTATCTTACATACCCTCCGCCGCCAAAAGATAAGGAGTCCATATCTCCTTTGATGAAGAACATATTGTCACCACT